ACAATTAAAGAAAAAAAAAACAGGAGAACCCTGAACCTCAGAAACATTTGGTGATTTGTGGGCATATGATCACTGCCTGGCTATGGCCTAGCTTTAAGAGATAAAGGCTGGGAAATACACTGGATAGTTCCTACAAGTTAGGGGGAGGTCTGTCACTGAGGAGAACCAACCTGGTACCAGAAAGAAAAGGAGAGGGTACAGCCTAAAGGGTATTAGCTTGCTAGGATGATCCTATTCTTCCAAATCCTCCAGGTTGGCCTATCAAGAGAGCAGACCTGGGGAGGTTTCTGCCATGTCTAAGGTAAAGGTCCTCGTTCTTTTGCAAAGAGCCCAGTAGTACCTCAGCTGAATAACACAGTCGAGCCTATACCAGAAGCACTGGAGATTAAAGAGGCCCACTGAAGCTGATTCCAGTGAGTCTGAGCAGAAACCAGACTGAAAGTGGAACTCAGTTCTTTACCAGACACATGGAAGAGGTATAGTGTTGGAGAGGGTAAAGAGTGAGGCTATCTGGGCCAAGCATAAGGCAGGTCAGACTGAAGCTTTGTGGCTGAAACTCAAGGACTACAGACCCAAAACTGGTAATTTTTTATCTCCTTTCTCCTCTTAGGTGCCCTCAAGGAAATCTGAAGTCATTCACTTTGGGCATGGGGAAAGAGTCCTTTTTACCTTTCTAGGATTTAAACATTTACTTTGCCTTTATAAATAGAATAAGCCATAGGTTTTTGTTAGTCTGGGTATACTAATAATGGGTAATTCAGTTGTGAGGGGCAATGGAGGGGTAGGAGGGGTAGAGGGAGCTTTACCTGAATACTGTCTCTGGCTGGGGGCTCACAGGTTTAAAACCAAATCAAAACAAAATGACATATAGAGTATAGGCTGAAAAATAGTTTATACTGTATTAGGAAACCCACCTAAGCCATGAGTCAATAGTGGGGTGTGGAGGACAGTCAAAACAGGTTGAATAATCCTGTTTACTGTCCTACCCCATTACTGCTACATACAAAATACAATATTTACTTATTTTTGCACATGATTATTTGCCCCCAATAGCATGTAAGTTCCCAAGAGGGCGGGGACTGTTTTGTTTTTGTCTTTGTACTCCCAGTGCGTGATAAATAGTAGGTGCTTAATAAATACTTTTTGATTGACTTATATTACAATTTGGTGATTTCAGAAGTGACTAAAGGTCAGACCTAAAGAATTAGGGTTGATGGAGTGATGGTAAGCTCTAAGAACGTCTCTATGGGATAGCATTAAGCACATTTCTTTGGCCCTGGTCTCTTCAACATTTTTACCCAATGGACATGAAATAAAAGATGGCACACTCATCATATTTGTGGATTACACAAAACTTGGATGGCTAACTAAGAGGCTGGATGACCAAAAGGCTGGAATCCCAAAAGATCTCCATGGGCTAGAACTAGATTAGGAGGATGGGCCAGATCTAATTGATAGCATGAAATTCCATGGCATCATACATACAGTTTGGAGGCAGAATGGGCACTAAAGAGCATTTAGTCCAATCTTATCATCTCAAAGATGAAGAAATCAAAGCCCAGAGAAATTCAGTGCCCAAAGCTTACAGAAGTAGGAAGAAGAGGGAGAATTTGAACCAAGGCCCCATGGTGCTGTATACCACATCCCACAGAGATAAATTGAAAGTCCTGCATTTAGGTTCTGAAATAATTTACTCTACAAGTAGAAGATGAGCTAGACTGTAGTTAGTGTGAAAAAGACCTGAAGTTTTTAAGGGACTTCAAGCTCATTAAGAGTCAACAGTGTGACAAGGCACTCCAAACAGGTTAATGTGATTTTGGTTTTTTTTGGTTCAGGTCTGGACTAGTGATTTTGTTGGTAAGATGGCTCCCTCTACCAATACAGGTCTGCAATTTGCTCTGCAACTTTTCCAGACTTAGTTGCCAGGGGACGCTGAATGTTTAAATTACCTGGGGTTACAAAAGTGGAAACTTGAACCCACGCCTTCCTGACCCCTTGGCTAGCTCTCTATCACTATGCTGTGCCTAGAATGCAGGGTACCGTTCCCTACCTTGCTTCTGCGTTGACTTCTGAGCATCATAATTTAGGCAGGTGCATACCTAGAGGTCAGAATGGTGACTGGAGTAGAAATCTGCCTAACACAGATTTACAGAAGGAACTAAAGAGATTTACCCTGGAGGAGGGAAGACTTAGGAAGGCTATGACACAGCAGGACGGTACCTGACTTCAGTGATTTGAAGGACTGTCATCAGATCACTAGTTCAACTTGTTTTACTTGGTCCTGAGGACGGAACAAGGACCAATTGGTGGCAGATACTGAGAAGCATATTTTGGCCTTTTTTTTTTGAGAAGCGTATTTTGGTTCCATGTCAGTAACCAAACAATTCCTAACAATTACAGCTATCCGAAAGTAGGATGAACTGCCTCAGATATAGTGACTTCCCTGTCACCGGAGATTTCCAAGCAGTCAGATGGGCCTTCAGGACACAAAGAAAATAAAGGAATTAGAAAACACTTGTTTTTACTTGTTAGGGATATTGCCACAGTGATTATTGCTAAGGCACAGGCCAGACTAAATGACTTCTAAAGTCACTTCCGACTCTGGGATTCTCTGATTTTATTTCACTTAGATTTGGCTCTTTCTTGGGGGGCAGGGGAAAGGGATGGAGAATGTCTATTTTCCACTATAAGGATCATGCCAATTACCCCTTCAGGTGTTTCCCTAAGGCTATGGGGGACTCAGTAATGGTCCACAGACATTACTGCTAGGTCTTAAGACTTAAATGTGACTCCTCAACAGCTGTTATTGTCTTGGGCCCCTGCCAGATATTCTTTTTCCCAGGAGATGATGGCCTCAAGGTAGTGGACCCTAGGAAGATCACAGGATCATAGATCGAGAGTGGGAAGGGACTTTATAGACTAACCTCCTCATTCTATTGATGAAGACATTGAGGTCCAGGGAAGCTAAAGGATTTATCCAAGGTCACAGGGGTAGGAAGTATTAGAAGCACAATTTGAACCCACATCCTTTGATTCCAAAGCCAGTGCTCTTTCCAGTGTACCATGCTGCCTGTCTACACATAAGGGCCTTCGGAACATAAGGAAAAAACTGGGACAAGAAAATCCAAGATCTCCTCCCCTTGTTCCTTCACCAGGTCTTAGCCTGGCAAAGCCAACTAGGATCATCTCTTTTCTTTTCTTTTTTTAAAAATTAATTAATGTTTTAGTTTTCAACAATCACTTCCATATCTTCTCTTCCCTCCCCACCTCCCTCCCTAGGATGATGTATAATCTGATATAGGCTCTATATATACATTAAGATAACCTTTCTTTTATATGACCATAGATTAGAACTGGAAGACATCGCAGAGTTCTAGCAAGTCTAAGCCCCTCATTTTACAGATGAGGAAACTGAGGTTAACTGATTTGCCTTGGGATAGATCCACAGGTAAGAAGTATCTAAAGCAGGATTTGAATTGAGGCCTTCCTGACCCCAAGTCCAGCACTCTGTGCCTCCACTTTCTCTCTTCTCAACCTTACAATCTAGCTTCTGACCTTATCATTCCACCAAAACTGCTCTCTCCAAAGTTACTAAAGATCTTGTAGTTGCCCAATCCAATGGCCTTTTCTCATTGCTCATTCTCCTGAACCTCTGTTGCTCACTCTTCTCCCTGATATTTTTTTCTTTCCTGGTTCTCCTCCTACCTTATTTGACCACCTGTCTTCTGTCTCCTTTCCCAGATCCTCTTCAGATCACACCCTCTAACCATTAGTGTCCCTCAGGGTTCTATCCTGGGTCCTCTCCTCTTCTCCATTACGTGATCTCTTCCGCTCCACAGATTTAGTTACCATATCTATGCTGATGATTCTTAAATCTACCTTGCCTGCCCTCAATCTCTCTGCTGAGCTCCACGCTCGCATCTCCAACTGCTTTTGAGACATCTCGATCTGGGTGTGCATGCAGTATAGACATCTCAAACTCCACATGTCTAAACGCAATTCATTACCTTTCCCCCTAAACCCTTCCCTTCTCTTTCTTTCCCTATCACTGCAGAGGGCAACACCATCCTTCCAGAGCCTCAGTCTCCCAACCTAAGAGTCATCCTGATCTCCCCACTAGCTCTCACCTCCCACATCCAATCTGGTGCCAAAGTTTATTGATTTCACCTTTGCAACATCTCTTGAAATCCCCCCCACCCCACTCTTTTGACACTGCCACCCCCCTGGTCCATTCCCTTATCACCTCATGCCTGTACTATTGCACTAGCTTGCTGGTGGGTGTGCCTGCCTCAAGTTTCTCCCCACTCTATTTGACCACTAATAAAATGATTTTCCAAAAGCACAGGTCCAATCACGTCACCTCCCTACTTAACAAACTCCTGTGGCTCCCTATTCCCTCTAGGAGCAAATACAAAATGTTCTCTTTGGCATTCAAAGCTCTTCACAATCTAGTCCTTTCCAATCTTCTTACACCTTACTCCTCACCATGTAGTCTTTGATTCAGTGACACTGGCCTCCTGGATATTCTAGAAACATGGCACTTCATCTCTCAGCTCCAGGCATTTTCTTGTCTGTTCCCCATGTCTGAAATGTTCTCCTTCTTCTACTCCAACTACTGACCTTCCTGGCTTCCTTTTAGTCCCAACTGAAATCCCACTTTGCAGAGAAGCCTTCCCTAACCCCTCTTAATTTCAGTACCTTCCCTCTGTTAATAATTTCCTATTTATCCTGTATATGGCTTGCTTTGCATATATTTGTTTGCATGTTGTCTCCCCTATTAGACTGTAAACTCCTTGAGGGCAGGGACTATCTTTTGCTTATTTTTGTATCCCAAGTGCTCAGCACAGTGCCTAGCACATAGTAGGCGCTTAATAAATGTTTATCAATTGATAGACTGTACCACCTCACTGCCATTGGGGCTCCCAGGCCATTCTGTATTTAGAGAGAAGCATAGCAACCAATGGAGCCAGGCATTCAGGTCTGCAGGTATGTGTACTCACTGGGGAGGATGGTTTTGTAGCGATTCTTCCTCACCAGGCCAGGAATGTCATACTCTTTTGGATCCACAAAGTTCATGGGTATTTCCTGCCGGAAGACGGGTCACATGAAAAGTTCGTAGGTACATGACTATATACTAGGTCGACTTTTCAGCCTATAGGGGAAAAGCCATGTGCTGTGAGTTCCTATTGCATTTCAGCTTCAGTGATCTCTTTGTGTGGCTGGTTATGTTTCCATGAGGCACCCGCTGCCTGTCTGGAACTGAGCCTCCTTCCTCTCCTTGTGCTCACTAGCTGGGGGAGGCCTTAGTGCTGGTCACAGCTCCAAAGCTTAGTCTCTGATCATAAACTGTCTTGTCAATTACGCTTTTGTTTCAGGGTTCTCCCATGAGACCACAGGTCCCTTAAAGGCAGGGATCACATCCTTTATCACTAACACACGTTTAGTGAGGTGGTGCAGTGGATAGAGTGCCGGGCCTGGGGTCAGGAAGACCGAGAGCAAGTCTGACCTCAGACAATGACTAGTTATGTGACTCTGCGCACTTCACCCTACATGCCTCAGTTTCCTCACCGGTAAAATGGGAATAATCATAACACATACCTCCCAGGGTTGTCGTGAGGAACAAATGAGAGATGATATTAGTAAAGCGCTTTGTTAATCTAGATGAAATATGAATGCTAGTTATTATTATTCTCTATTATATGCCAGACACTGTGTGTTTGGAGGTCAGTCTGAATCGGATTTTGGAATAAATTTTGAATGTATTATTAAAGAGGGGGGGATTGTGAGCATTTAGAAAGGGAAGCGGTGATCCCTAAGGGCCAGCCAAGGGTTCTTCAAGAACACTCCATGTTAGACTGCGCTTGTTTCCTTTTTTTTTTTCAGGGTTACCAGACTGATAGGTCAGAGGAGTGCTATAATAATAACAACAGCAGCTAGCATTTATGTAGCACCTATTGGGGGCAGCTAGGTGGTGCAGTGGATAGAGCACTGGCCCCGGAGTCAGGAGGACCTGAGTTCAAATCCAGCCTCAGACACTTGACACTTACTAGCTGTGTGACCCTCATTGTCAAAAACAGGCCATTAGACTAGATAATTTCTAGGGTCTTTGCAAGCTCTAAAATGTTGATTGTGTTCTAGAAACCAGTGTTAAGACTAAACAAGAAGAGATTAAATTACTTTTTTTTTTTTCTTGGCAAGGCAATTGGAGTTAAGTGACTAGCCCAGGGTCACACAACTAATAAGTGTCAAGTGTCTGGTCTGAGACCGGATTTGAACTCAGGTCCTCCCGACTCCAAGGCTGGAGCTCTATCCATTGCACTACCTACCTGCCCCGAGATTAAGATTACTTAACTGCTCCTTTGTTTTTCCAATTCGGTGTTTGAAGACTGTATTCCAGCCATTGTACCAAGCACTTTATAGTTATCTCATTTGATCCTCACAACAACCTTAGGAAGTGGATGCTATTATTATCTTCATTTTGCAGATGAGGAAGCTGAGGCAAATAGAGGTTAAGTGACTTGCCCAAGGTTACACAGATAGCAGATGTCTGAGGCCAGGTTTGAATTCAGGTCTTCCTGATTCCAGATCAGGTATTCTATCCACTGTACCACGTAGCTGTCCTTAGCTGTAGATGTAGCATACCTGTATTTCAGCAAGGTATCTGAGTCTCAATCTCTCAGGCTGTCTTTGTGGACAAGACAGAGAGCGGTAGGTAGTAAAGCTAGTTGGTTTCAGGATGGGTCAAATGACCAAACTCCCAAAGTCACGGGCAGTGGGAGGAGCACCTCTAGCGGAGTACCTCAGGCATGTGTCTTTGGTCCTGTTCTGTTGAACACTTTTTATCAATAACTCGTATTACAGCATAAAAGACAATTTGGAAATTCCACCACCCTGGAAGAAGCCCTAACTCGTCGGACAACTGAGTCAAGATCCAAAAAGTTCTTGACAGGCTGAGATAATTAATAAAACGACATAGGGACAATTAAAGAATCCTATACTTATGTTTAAAAGCAAAACAAAACAAAACCAGTCATATAAGTATGAGACTGGGGAGGCGTGGCTAGACCACAATATGTATGAAAATGATCTAGGAGCTGTATTGGATCACAAGCCCAGGATGAGTCAACAGGTACACAGAGCAGCCAAAGAAGCATATGTGATCTTAATTTCCATTAAAAGAGGCACAGTTTCCAAAACCGGGGAGGCAATTGTCCTGATGTCCTCTGTCCTGGTGAGGTCATCTCTGTAATAGGGTATATGTTCTGGGAGCCATGTTTTAGGAAGACATCTAACTGGTGTGCTGCCAGGACGGTGATGGGACTCCTAACCACACTATGTAAGGGTAGTTTTAAAGAAAGTCATTGTCAAATGAGTTTTTATAGACAATATATGTCTAGGAGCTCAGAGGAATGAAAGCTTCATATCAGCTGGATTAGCTGGGAAAGGCTTCATGTAGGAGTTGGGATTTGGGTTGGACTTTGTAGAATGGATTAGATTTATGAGAATATCATCATAATCACGACAGTTCACGTTTACATAGTACTTCAAGGTTGGCAAAGTATTTTACTCAATTTATTTTATTTGAATCTCTCCACAATCAGTGAGGTAGGGGTTATTATCCCCATTTTACATTGGAGAAAACTGAGGCACAGAGAGATCACAAGAGGGTCATACAGGTAGTGTGTGAGGAAGGATTTGAACTTGGGTCTTCTTGACTCCAAATCCAATGCTCTATCTCTTAATCCAGGCTGCCCCTTCCAATATAAAACGTGACATATAAATATAAAATAGCTTTTTTTTGGGGGGGGGAGGAGGCAATCGGGATTAAGTGACTTGCCCAAGGTCACACAGCTAGTGTCAAGTGTCTGAGGCTGGATTTGAACTCAGGTCCTCCTGACTCCCAAGGCCAGAGTTTTATCCACTGCACCACCTAGCTGCCCCCTAACATATTTTAAAACATACCTCCAGGTATCCCCAGGAGGGAGGTACTATGGTTATTTTTATCCCTATTTTAGAGATGAAAAAACTGAGTTTTGGTTCATGGTCCTTCCTGGCTCCACTGGTCTTTTCTATCCTGCCTCTCTGTTAAATGAGTTTGTACAAAGGAAGGAAAAATGAGAAAGTAGAGGAATGGGGACAGGAATGATGCAAACAGAGACACAGGCAGGAAAGTCGAGGTGTATCTTTGTAAGTGGTGTATTGAGTTCTTACGCTAAAAAAATAGTTTAGAGAGAGACTGCTAGGCTTAGGAAAAATGGACTGTTTCTTCTAGACAATAGGAAGCCATTGAAAGTTTTTGAGCAGGGCTGTTCTTTAGGGAAGTTAATCTGTCAATGGCCTTTAAAGCGGGACCCATGAGGGAGTATTGTACAGTGAGGCTATTGCAACAGTCCAAGGGGGGTGGTGATAGGGCTTGGACTAGGATGGGGCTGAGGCTGGAGAAGAAGGGTTTGGAACTGAGTCACATTTCAAAGATGAAATCAACTAGCCTTCATGACTGAATATGGACAGTGGGGGCTGGGGGGCTGGGCCTAGGGGGAGACTAAGGAATTGAGGATGACTCACAGGTTTTGGTCACTACAAGCCTGGTGGTGCTATTTAAAGGCAAAGGGAAGTCAGGAGGGTGAGCCAGTGTTTTCTACTCTTAAAAGCTGAATGGAGACTTAGTGTATATTTCTTCGACAGTCTCTCTGTGTAGGGGAGCATTTGGAACTACCAGGGGCATGTCATCTGAGGTGGGGCTTTAGGAATCATAGGGTCACAGATCAAGAGGAAGAAGGAACCTCAGAGGTCATTTAGTTTAACACCCTTATTTACAGCTGAGGAAATGGGAGACCTAGATTTTTAAGTGACTCATCCAAGGTCACACAGGCAGCAACTGAAAGGCAGGATTTTATTCTAGGGTCTCTGAGTGCAAATCCAATGCCCCTCCCACCGTACCACACTTCCTGATTCAGATCCCTCACTGTTCCTGTGGAGAGTACTGGACTCACATGCATGGGTCCACTACAGCTGCTTAGGAAGCATTTCCTGAATGAATGAGTGAAATACACATTGTTCACAGCATGGACAGAAAGTGATTTTTAGTTTGATACTCACAAAGAACTCCGCCTGCAGCAGGAATGGGTCTAATGCCTTCTCATGGAGCTCCTCAGCTCGGAGGACCCGGGAGGCACTGAGCAGGTATTCACGGGCTGACTCCTCACGAGGAGACATGAGGTAGCCAAAGCCCTCCTCAGAGCAGCCTGGAGTGCACATGTCCAGTGTCAGGGACACATTCGAGCCCCTCCTAGAAAGCAAGGTCCTAGTGTCAGAGACGGATGACAGTGGTCCAGGGCTGGAGGATGGGGGCCTCATGATGAGGGGTGAGGGCCCAGAGATGAAGATGAGACCCAGTCCAAAAATGGAAGGTGAAGGCTAAAGGATACAGGATGGACACTCAGGGATGAGCTCAGAGATGGAAGATGAGGGTTCCAAGATGAGGGACTATGGTCCAGGCTCAGAGATGGGGATCCCCATTTCTCATGGGGATATAGTAAGACAAAGTAACACTTCTTTGTAAAAAAGATGTGTCCTGTTCTCTTGAAGAGCCCAAATTCTCACCCTGATATCAGTCCCTAAAGCTTAGGTCTGGGTCATCTGTCTGCCTGGAAAGAGGCCTTATATATGAGGTTAGAGGGCCCCTAGAAGAGGAGCAATGTCTAACCCCCTGGCCCTATTCAGGATGACCCTTGCATTCCATTCTTCCTTCTATCCCCCCCTGGGCTGACTCCTGGCCTGTCTCTGAGTACTAGGCACAGAGAGGGAAGGCAGTCATTCAGAGCCACTCAGGAAATGGCTTTATTCCTGGAAACCTTTGGGAAGGGTTGGTGGTAGAACAGAGAGTGTCTTCCACAGCCTAAGTGCCCCAGAGTGAGTATGTAAGAATGACGCAGCAGGAAGGGGTACTGAATGTCATCTCATCTAATCTTGTTTTACAGATGAGGAAACTGAGGATCATAAAAGGAATGGACTCTCTCCAGGTAGCAGGGAATTACAGGAAGATCTAGCATCAGAACCCAGGACTCTTTATTCCAAGTTCTGAGTTTTTCCCACCGTTGCCTCTCCATTACTGAATTACGTCTACTGGATGACAGCCCATAGTGAGAAGGTCTATACTGACCATTCTCTGAAACACAGACCCATCCTTGCCTATGGCTCTGTCCTGGGACACAGACTACCAGAGATATTTATAGCAGGGAATGAAGTAGGGAATGGGAAAGCCCCTTCTCCACCTCTCTTGTAGGCCCATGGATTTGACTGTCAACGAGGTGGGGTCAGCCTCTGGTTTGATGTCCATCGTGCAGTCGAACACTGGTGTCTCAGGGACAGGGTCTAGATCCAGGAAGTCATCCTCAGTTTTTTCCTCCATCCACTCTGAGTAGGTGAAAGATGGCTGGCGGCTCACAGACTGGCGCCTGTCCTCAGACTGCTTTGAGGGAAGCTCTGGGGACGTTCCCAGGAGATGCCAAACCTGAGGGACAGAGGAAGACACACAGTCATAGCCTAGTGGAGGGCCATTAACCATACAACATCATTAATTAAATGCAGGGCAGCATGACGGACTGCTAGGCGTGTGCCTACACTGGCTATCTCAGGAGTTCATGTGTCTAACCTGGCCACGTCCCATGATCCTGCCCCATACAGGAATATTCTTACCTCAGCCATGTTAGGTAGTAAGTGGTCTACCACAGCCTATGCCCAGAGGGGATTCCATGTCTACTGTTTCTGCTGCTTCCCACCTCCCACCCCCTGCACTTTCCAATTCCTTGTCTCTCCCTTGCAGTCCTGAACTTTTCCCTTTTCTAGGCCAGTCCCCTCATCTGGTTTCCTACCTCTAACACCTATTTCCTCTCTTTTTCCCCTCCCTCATAAAGGAGCCAGCAAGCTGGAGATTAATAGCTGTTGGCTTCAGTGTATGTGCCTAGAACTACTGTCTAGGGTTATGGTTAATAATAAATAATAATAACTAGTATTTATGCAGAGCTTTAAGGTTTGCAAAATACTTTATTTACACTATTTTATTTGAGCTTCACAACATCCCTGTGAAGTAGGTGCTATTGTTACCCCTATTTTACAGATGAGAAAACTGAGGCTGGGAGAGAGGTTATGTGACTTGCCTAGGGTAACAAAACCAGTATTTGAGGAAGGATTTGAACTCAGGTCATCCTGATTCCAAGTCCAGCACCCTATCTGCTGCACCACCTATCTTGTCACAGATGTTCATGTGTCGCTTGGGAAGGTCCCTGTGTTTGCCTTGCTACCTTTTACTGTCCTGTGGGAATGCTGTTCCCTATCCCTGACTCAACCACGCTCCAATGTTCTCCACCCCGACCAAACATGCAGACAGAGAAGGACTGCCCCAGATAAGATATCATAGCCCATAAAGGGTTCGGCCAGAGCTGGGGTCAGACAGGTAAGAGTAACAAGCCAGAGAGAGGAGAGTAGAAAGGCATAGGGGTCCCAGACCCAAGGGAAGGTCAGGAGGCAGCTTACCAAGATCATAGTCAGGATTAGGCCAAAAGCCAGGAAGGCCACCAGAAATCCAGATGTTTCCATGCTTGCCATCCTTAGGCAGACCTAGGGAACATCAGACAGAGTGATTAGTCAGCAGGGACAGGATTAAGGAGGGTGGTGGAAGGTGGTGGTGAAGGGAGCATGGAGAAGAAACTGAGGCTCAGTAGCAAGACATCTGAGGCCTATAGATACGAGTGATACCTTCCATCAGCCAGTCAAGTGGACAGCTACCTCTGGATGAAGTGTGTGTGCTGCCAAAACTTCTCATTATTGGGAGAAACTCTTAAATCATGTGTTTGAAGTATTTTTGAGATTATAAAAATTTTACCATAGGATTCTGGAAGGTCAGAGTGTGTGTGTGTGTGTGTGTGTGTGTGTGTGTGTGTGTGTGTGTGCGCGCGCAGAGAGCTAGAGAGAGCGTCAGCATGGGAGTGATTTGGAGGGAGGCACACACCTGAGGGAACAGGACGGGTGAGGATGGTGACAAAAATGGGCTGAAGCCTGCAATTCACTTTGGTCTGCTAATGATCTAAGAACCAATGGCTGCCCTCAGACAGTGGACAGGAGCAGAGGGGAGAGGTCAACAGAAGTTCCTTTAGTTGGTTTCTAGCCCTGGGAAGGAACTGATGCCACTTGTCACCAAGGACACAGTCACGTGAAGAGGCCGGGCTCAGATACTCATCAAGAATAAAAAAAATGAGAAAGTGGCTTCGCTGATGGGTAAAAGTCTCAGGGAGAAGGCTGAGCTGTGGGGCAGGGCGGGGGACTGTAAACTGTGTTAGCTTTGCCTATCAGTGGTCAGACTGGAGTTTCCCTAGGGTGAGAGATCTACGATCCATACCGTGTCAAATCTGTTTTTGTATTGGGTTTTACTTTTCATCCGCTTTTTAGAAAACTTGCTTTTGAAAATTTCAGCCTAGTTTTAGTTGAACTAGGGAAAGAAGGTGGATAGTCTATGTCCACAGCAGGAGAAGCTGAAGTCTCAGAGTCCTTGAAGGGATGGGCCTATGGCTCTTGGAGGTATATCCCAAGGCTTGGGCTGCCAGAGACAGGACAAGGGGAGGGAAAGTTTTGGATGATTGGGAAAGCTAATCCCCTGTTCCCTGGAGGATTCCCAAACAGGGAGAGAGAATCAAATGAGAGATTTCGGAAGCCCAATATTGAATGCTGGAATTAATGAAGCCTTGGAACTGTGAAGAAGTGGGAGTAGAGAAGGGATGGGATTAGAGCCTGACCTGTCCTCCTCCCAACCCTCCTGGTCCCTTCAGAGCCCACTTACCTCTGGAACGATGAACAGTTGTCCCAATGGTGTGAGTAAGGAGGAGCCCATATCCATGACCCCTTGCAGAGCAATAGAGCTATACCCACTGAGCCAGAGCACTCCTAAGGCGAGCTGGACAAGGAAGGGATAGGGGGTCAAGGTTAGCTCATAGACCCGAGCCCAGAAGGCAGAGCCAGGGGTAAGGGCTGTAGGGCGCTCCCCTGGCTCATCCCTCAGAGACCCTTGTGTTTCTATCCCTCTGCATTTATTTCGGCTGTTACTCTAAAGAACACATTCCCAAACTTCTTCCCTCCCTCAGCCTACACCAAGGAAAAGCCCAAAGGTGAGATCTGGAATCTCTTCATCTGCAGAAGCAGCACAGACATGATTCACCAAAGTGAAGGCAAGAGCCCAGCTGTATGGGAAGGGTCTCACAACCTCTAACAGAAGACTCCCAGAGAAAAAAGGCCTACAGGGAGAATGTGACTCCCCAAGATTAGCCACACAAGAGCTCCCTACAGAAAAGAAACCACAAAGCTGCCCTCACAAAGAAGATCTTACAGAGGACATCCCACTGTGACAAGGCTCCGCCAGAGAGGACCCTGGTTATGATCAGGAGTGGCATAGGATGCCCGGGAGTAGATGCTGGAGTTCAGGTCTCCTGGCTCCTCCTCATCCCAGCCCTAGGGATTCCACTGGGCTGAAATCTTTACAGGTGAGACAGCAGAGCCCCTGGGTTCCTCTAGGGCTCATCTCGGATGGGGGTGGGGGGTGGGGATGGGGATGTCCCTCAGCTTCCTTCTTCCCCTCCCCCCTTCCTCCCACCACAGCCTAGCGCATCCCACGTCCTTACCAAGAATTGGGAGATGGCGAACAAGCACATACTGCCACCCCCAGTCAGAGGTTGGCCCCAGGGACACTGGGCAGGCTCTGTTTCTCTCTCCGAGGACTGTGGGGGAGCTGCTGTTTCCCCCTGCTCGTCTGGGTGCCCCTCACTCTCATCGATAGCCTCCATTGCTATGGGTTGGGGGAGACCTGCAGAAGCCAGGAACACAGTCAGGCTTAGTGACTCCCAGGTCTGTTGGGACCCGGTAGCAGCTACTTCCTTTTTTTTTTTTTTTTAAAAGCTGTTGATTCCTTTCAATCCTGTATCCGTCAGTGTGGCTTCACATCCAGCCGTCACACTCGATTAGCAAAGCAATATTCACCTACCTTCGTCAGAAAGATCTGAGTGTGGGTGGACAAATTATTTTTCTTTTATTTCTCCAGGAACAGAGTTAAAATGGCAGGAGGTTTTTCAGTGAGTTAATGTAGTCATGTTTATTCAGCCTTATTCTTTTTCATTTCTTAAGGAAACAAAAAACAACCTCCCCAAACCCAATTTTTAAAGGCCTGGCCCCACACAGCCTGTGTAGCTTCTCTGTTCCCACCTACACCTGTCCCTGGGGTTCCAGGCCCTCAGGGTCTCTTGTCCCAAGGCTGAAGAACAGATCCATGGCCATGTCAGCAGCCAGACTCCCAGCAAGCTGAGGGGTTTGGAAGTGGCACATACACCCCCTTAGAGAAGTCCTTGACACATGCGATCTTCGTTCATTGTTCCTTGAGGGCAGAGACTGTCATTTGCCTCTTTTTGTATCCCTGGCACTTAGCACAGTGCCTGGCACATAGTAAGTGCTTAATAAATGTCTATTTGTTAACTGCTACCTGAAATAGCTTTAAAGATTGATGCCCTATTGGGATTGTCATTAGAAAAATAAGAACCAGGTGAATGCTGTCCTGTCCACATATCCAGAGACGCATATGAGGTATGGCTACTGGGGAAGGAGACCATATCTACAGCCTCTACATTGAAACCATTCTTGTAACTTTTTAGGCACATGTTATATACTCACACACACATGTGTGTGTGTGAGTGTGTGTGTATATACACACATACATTATATACATATATTTTTGCTAGGCAATGGGGTTAAGTGACTTGCCCAGGGTCATACAGCTAGTAAGTGTTATGTGTCTAAGGCTGGATTTGAACTCACGTCCTCCTGAATCCACACACATATTCTTGATGTAAGCAGCACTCACTGGGCTATGGATCTCCTTGGCATAGATCAGTGACTGGCTGTGTGGGACAAAGACCATGGTTGATGGGAGAAATATTTATCCACGGAGAAGGAAAGTCTATTCCTTTGTTCAAATTGTCTGGAATGCAAAAGACCATGGTTCCTGACAAGCCGTCTTTTTCCTATCAAATAAGTTAATATTTGTAAAGGATCAAATGAGATAATATTTATAAATAAGCACTAAGCACAGTGCCTGACACATAGTAGGCACTTAATGAATGCTGATTCCTTTCTCTTCCCTTCCCTCCTATGGATCTCTCTGTGATTTCACGGCCCACTGGTGGACCTGGGAGAAAACCTTAAACCTGCAGCAAAGTGTTCTGTGGCTAGGTTTTCTGTGATCGTTGGCTGTCTCATTCAAAACTTTGACAGCCACGTCCCAGAGAAAAGGAGCCTCAGTCTGCATGGTTCAAAAGTCCATTGGAAAAAGGTTGCTAATCTTCTGTCTTTGCTCAGGTCTTACTCTGATGCTTATTCACAGTATGGAAATGACTTTGGGTTCTTGAAGGTTACTGTGTTAAAAGCTCTATGCCTGATGGGGACTACCAAGTCAAAAAACATTTACTGAACGCCTTCTACGTGCCAGGCACGATGCTAGGTGCTGGGGATACAGAAGAAAAAATGAGATCGTCTTTACCCTCGAGGCTACCTTTCTAGGCTTACTACACATACTCTGTGGTTGAGTCAAATGGACCTAACTTGCTGTTTCCTGCTCACAACGTTCTACTAGGTCAAGGGTCTGAGAACTTTGAAGAAAAAATTGGTAAGTTCATTTCAATATAATTGATTTCCTTTGTCATCCTATGCATTATATTTTGTGCATTCAAAGACAGTGTGGGATGCTGGGCCGCAGTAGGCATTTAAGAAATGTTTACCGACTGACTCTAAACCTAGTGTTCTTTCCATTACACTGCGTTCTTGAGAGACCCACAGTCACTGAGTCACCACTCATTTCTGCCTGTGCTTCTAATTCAGTAGCTTGAGGCTTCAGCAGGTGAGTGGCTGCTGAATGGTCTTACTTAATACACCTGCTCCAGGACAACATAGCTGGGGCTTTACTGGCATGGCAATGGGGGAAGAAACAAACTCAGGCCTTTCCCCGTTGGTTAGCACAACCGAGCACAGCAGCTTAGCTCAAAGGGTTTGACCCTAGTGCTAGTGGGGTTGAGGTTACGGGTTTGAGTCTCACATGGCTTGTTACCTCTGTCCAGTTCTATGGTTCTGAAGAGGGCCCAAAGCCCCTCACCAATTGTTTTCAAATGCCCAATTTAAGGCAAAAGGACCTGGGTGAAAGCATGGATTAAGTATAACTCATTAATTTATTCAATATTTAATTTTTTTCATTTTTCCTCCCAAATTTTTCAATTTTATTCAATCATCCAATAATTTTTCAATATTTTATTCCAATTTTATTCAATTATTATTCAATAAACAATTCAAAGGCTACTTTGTGCCAGGTACTGAGGACAGAAAAGCAAAACCTCAAGTCCCTGTCTTGGAAGAGCTTACATTTTATTCAGGGGAAACAGTATGTATATTGAAAATTATAAAATATGTACAAGTAGGTTTCTGGGAAAAAGGTATGAGCAGCTGGTGAGAGCAGAACAGGGTTCCTATAGGAGATGCTACCTGAGTGGAAGCTAGGGATTCCAAGAGGCAAGGAGGGAGGAGGAAGAGGAGAAGGAAGGAATCAGTCTCAAGCATGGAGGTCAGCCTGTGCAAAGGTTCGGAGGTGGGAGGGAGTTGAATATTGTGCGGAAGATACACCACGTTAAGCCAGTTTGGTTCTATCATAGAGTGTTCAAAAGACTATGATGTGTAATAAACCTGGAAGGACAGGTTGGGGCTTTAAATGTCAGGTCGGGAAGTTTATTTTATTCTAGAGGCAAGAAAGATCCATTATAGCCGCTTGAGCATGGTTAGGCTCGTGCTTTAGGAATATTACTTTACCAGTTATTCAGAGAATGGATCAGAGAGGGAAAAGGCTGAAGACTGGGAGATGAACAGAGCTATTGAAATAATCCAGGTGAGTGGTGACATGGTAGCTGTGGAATGAGTGGAGAGAAATGGATGAATGAAAACCATGGAGACAGAATCCACAAAGCCTGGCAGCTGATTGGATATGAGAAATGAAGCAAGAGATAAGAGACATTTCCATGAGTAGAACCCCCCCCCCAAGAACATAATGTTTTTGTTAATGCCCTGTTAATTAATGTCATCTTTGCCTGTGAAAGGTGCCATATTAATAACATTGACCATAATTTATTACCGTTGGCTTGTTGAGCTGTGTAGAAGCAGTATTCGAATGAGAATGTATACAGAAATAGAGACATATTTTGCTTTCATGAGCCTGATAGAATGAACTGGGTACTGAATAGACCAGATCAGATCAACAAACATTTATTGAATGCCTACAGCATTCCAGGTGTGGAGTGAAATGCTTTCTTGGGAGGGGGGTTAGGTGGCTTTATAGGATGTGATAGAGACTGCTAAGTAGAGAGATGGAGTCTTATTGAATTTTATTTTTAATCTCTTCTTCAAGTCAGTCACTCTATGGACCTGGGCAAGTCACTGCCTATTCACAAGCCTTGGTGTCTCTGGCCTAGAGGGGCTGTCAGCCCTTCCTCCTCTGTTATACCTCCCCTCTGCCCCCAATTCTCCCTTATCTCTCTCCCTAGTGATGTTTAATGATGGGAATAAGACAGGTTAAAAGTGGGTAAGGAAGTATCATAAGGAAACAGGTACCATCTCTACCTTTGTCTCCGGATTTAGGAGCTTAGCTTAGAGCCTCAGAGACCGAGAGGTGGGGATCACTGACCTCCTACTTGCCAGTTAGCAGTCAAAGCTGAATGAGTCCATAGGCACAATTCTCTGGAGGTCACGGCAATTTTGCTGCTGTCAACTTAAGCAAGAGAAGACGCAAAGGGAAACATATGCAAGCTGAGATCGGTAAGTACGCCACTGGGGGCAATCACAGGCATCAGCAGGTCTACTAGCACTGGTGAGTGTGAGACTGGTTAAGCTGACTCTACTGAGATAGTAAAAATAGAAGAAACACAATGCTATTCAGGAAAAGTGGCTTAGTGCCTTGTCCAAGGCTCATGATCATGGCCAAAGACCATCGTCATCCCCTCTCAAAGGCCAACAGATGCAGGCGATTAGGCAAAGCCAGTGTTAAGGATAAGGCAATATTTATTCAGGACAGAAGAGACAGGGTCCACATTGGGAGGAGATCAATTATTAGGCAAAAACCCAAACCAAACCAAACCCCAAACACTAGGCTGGTCTGTTGGCAGTGTGTCTATAGAGTGCCGAAACTTAGTGAGAAGACCAGTTGTAGCAGAGATTTGTGTCTGGAAATCCACATAAAGCTGTGAAGCAAACTAAGGGAAATGCCAGGAGTTGACCAATTGTCTGATTCAGCCTCAAAGCTTGAGTCTTCTCATGGAAGCTGTTGATATTACTTGCTCGCCTTATCCTATCCTTCCCCCCCCAACCTCAACTCCAATATCACGCCTAAATGATGGCACTGTGGGGGGAGGATTTATCACTCTTCTTTCAAACTCTGCTGTGAGATCCCACACTATGCCTCCTCAGGAGATGTCTCTCCGCTTCTCAAGGCTGTGGTGAATATTATGGAACTGATGGAAGACCTCCATGTTGGTTGCCATATGCTCTCCGTTGGTCCCACAGGAGACCTCATTACCACTTGTGATTCTAGGAGGGTTTGAACAATGAATTCTTCCTACTTAACCCACAATTAGTAGGAGTGGGTGAAGACTTAGTATGTAGTTAGACGTCAAGGTGAACTCATCATACCAAAGGACATGGGGTGAATAGTGTTCCAGATCCCCAGCAGGCAGGCCAAAGGTCTGATTATCTGAGGGAAGGGAAAGGAAGGAGCCTTTGGCCTTT